AAGTGAGAAAATAACTACTATGATACAGACTAATAAAATAAGTACAAAGTGATTCAAAACCACAAGCTGGGGAAAATGACCATAAGTAGCTAAATCAAGAGAATGTCACCAAAGAGATTTAAAAATGATTTAAAGCAACAACTACAGAAAGATGCAAATCTATTTTGAAGAGAGTACATAACTGCAAAGATCAAACAACAAAGACTAAAGGATTACAAAGATATGCAGAGAAAATGATGCAGAATAAACAGATTCAGGGAGATGGATTACTATTCCAAAACAAGACCTACAAAGAAAAATCCTGAAGACCAATGGCTACAAAATGATATCACCTATCATCAACATAATTTCAAGAGAGATAGATTTGCAGGAAGATTTAAAACGATCTAAAAGAAGGAAAATGACTACGCAGAATAACTAAAAACAGACCTAATAATTACAAAGAGAGACAAAGAGATGCAGAACAACTTCAAAGAGCCATCTCTTCAGCGAGATGCAAAGCAATTTTAAAGATAAAAAATGTCCACAAAAAGAAAATAACTGTCCCCACAAGAAGCCCCAGAACAAACAGATATGTTGAATGAATAAAATGAGATTCAGATGACTTCAAAGACACAGAGAGATGCAAAAAAACTACAAAGACCAGATGACTCCACAAATAATGTAAAACATAAATATGTAAAATAACTACAGAAGAGATTGCTTTGAAATGGTTTTCAATGTCAAAAAGATAGGACAAACTTAATCAGCAAGTACAACGACAGTGCGATATGAAAAATAATTTCAGTGATGGAAAATTCCCATAGGGGAATTTAAAATGTGTACAGAGACAAAAAAAAAAAACCACCTCAAAGAGAGACAAGAGTACACAGACATGCATAAAACAGTCACGCACTGAGATGTAATGAGTACATGGACACGCTGCTTGTAGTCATTTTGTGTTTCTTCGAGTCTCACCGTCTAGTTCTTTTGTCACAGAGGGTCTCATAGTCTTACAGGCTACTTTAAGTTACAAACCGTAGCGTTTA